TTGAGGCTGTATTAGTTCAAACTTCTAAAGTTTGACTAACATTTTTAGTAATAAAATTATAATAATTTAATTCTTTTTTTAAAAGATTTTCTTTATTTATTTGTCCGAGAGAGAGAGAGAGAAAGAGAGAGTGAAAGCACAAGCAGGAGGAGCTGCAGGCAGAGGGAGAAGCAGTCTCCCCGCTGAGCAGGGAGCCCGATGGGGGACTCGATCCCAGGACCCTGGGACCATGACCTGAGCCGAAGGCAGACATTTAACCAACTGAGCCACCCAGCCATCCCTCAATTATTTTATTTTATTTTATTTATTTATTTGACAGAGAGAAAGAGAGTGCACAGACAGGGGGGAGCAGGAGAGGGAGAAGCAGGCTCCCTGCTGAGCCGGGATTCCCATGTGGGGCTCCATCCCAGGACACTGAGATCGTGACCTGAGCCGAAGGCAGCCACTTAACAGACTGAGCCACCCAGGCACCCCCCTGTCCCTCAATTCTTAAATAAACATTCAAATTTGTCTTTATATCCCAGAAAGAAAGTATTAATTTTGACATTTGACTCTTCAGCATTTAGCCAAAATGTGAATTTGCGTGCACCTCTTCAAAATCCTCCAAATTGCTTTTGAAATTAAAATTACCTTAGCCTATAAATTCCTACATGATCTGGTTTGGTTCTACTCTCATGTTCAGTCCATTGTTCATACCATTCTTCCCCTTCCACCATTCTCTACTCACACCTGTCTTCTCCATTCTGTTACTCTGATGACAAGATTTTTCCCTCCAGGGCCTTGTTTTCCTTGGTATTTCCTTTTAGTACTCATCAAGTCTCAGGTAAGATATCCACATCTTAGAGGTCAACCTATGAAAGTAGTCTGCAATAATCACATTAGCATGTTTTACTTCCTTCACAGCATTCATCTCTACATGAAATTATCTTTTTTATATGCTTATTGTCTATCACCCAGACTAAATTGTAAATTCCACAAGAGCAGTGACTTTGTTCATTGTTGCATTCTCACTACCTAGACCAGTGCCTTGCATAGAACAGGTGCTCAAAAAATATTTGTTAAATCAATGAACATGTAACATGACATTCAATAAGGGTGCTGTTTTGACAGGTGCTCAAAGGACAATGGGTTAGGTGCCAAGTACCCCTACATCCTAAAGTCAGGTGTTAGACTACCATGCAAAATATGCTAAGAAATTGTGGCTTAGCATTATTCATCACCGTGCCCAGCCCCGAGAGCATGGAGGTGGGGTAGGGGGCTGATGACTCAGGAAGAGTGTTGCTTTGGAGACACTTGACACTTCCCCACTCTGCCCACAGGGAAAAAAGAGACGCTCCCCCTAATCTCAAGCTATGTGAGAGGAGCTTTCAGGGAAACACTTGGAGAACTTGATACATGTTGCCTGGAGTCTGGGGGAATACAGGGACCTGGGATCTGATACTTTCCTAAGAAAACCAGAGGCTGACTAGAGAGAGAGAGAGAGAGAGAGAGAACACTGGAAACAAGCCACACTTTCACCAACTGTGGAAACATGAGTTTTCCCAGGGGAAAGTATACTGATGTAAGCAATTTACTTTGTTACACACCAAAAATAAGATGAATTAATGAGTTTATGGAGGGATGGATGTGTAGGGAGATTAAGTGATAAAAGAGTATAGCAAAAATGTTCCCAGGGATGGTGGGAGAGAATTATACTTGAAGCCAGTTTAAAAGGGAGTCCAGCTAAGAAGAGTACTTTGCTGAGCACCCCAGGGATCAAGAAGAGGGCTAAACCCCAAAAAGTCCCAAGAGCTAAGGCTAGGGTTGTAAGTGGTTGCCTGGAAGTGCCTTTGTGCATGTCATATATCTGAGACATCCGAGAAGCTCTGCTACCCTCCCTTGCACAATATAAATCTGGAGGAATTGGAAAGCTTAATCAGCGAGTAGTTAAGGTGGAGGAAGTGGAGATGCAAAAGGTAGAAAACAAAATAAAGGTGGCCCATACCAAATAACCCACTGCAGTTCTGAAGCAGGACTGGGCTTGGGAAAAGGCAAAGCTTTAACTTGGAATGAAGTTTGTGTGACCTTCATGAGATATCATCCAGGGCAGAATAAAGAGCAGCCCTCAGAGAATTTGAAGACTTAGAGGAGCAAAAATGAAAGAATTTTGTTCTCCTACCCCACTGAATCCTGCTCATTCAGTGAAATGTAAATGCCTAACAAAACCCACCCCTGAATTAAAAAATCCTGATTTAATATCATAGCACATGTTCATTTATTCAACAAATATCTAGTGAGCACCTGCTATGTGGCAGGCATTGGTATAGGTAGTAAGATGCAGCAGTGAATAAGACAAACATCTGATATAAGTAGAGAAGCTTTAAAAACCACTGGGGTTCATGGTAACATTCCATATCTTGATAGAGATTTGGGTTATGGAAGAACATGAATTTCTTAAAACTAGAGTTCAATATTTATAGTTTTTTCTTTTTGATGTAAAATTTATATGACATGCGTAGCTCTTAAATTATGTTTGCTGAGTTTTGACAAGTGCATGATCATTACAACTCTGCCTCCCTCCATGGTCAGCAGATAATCTTGGCCCCCTACTTCCCCAAGAAAATAGAAGCCATAGACAGGAATTCCTTCAACTTATAAATGTATCTGCAGTCATATCTACCCTTTTTCCCTTTCCTTCTGTTATCATGGACAACACGTACCTACTCCCATCTACGGCCAATTTCTTCTCCTGGTTTTACTTTGTCAGAGGCCTTGCTCTATTGGATTATCCCTCTCATCCTCAACTCTCAAGGAATGAGCTTGTTTAAGTACTGATGCTGGATACTTTTACCCCAGGGTCCTCACATTAGCCATTTTCTTGGAACCACTTTCTTACCTCTTTTCCTTAACTCCTACTCACCCTTCAGTCTTTGCTTAGATGCCATTTACTTACATATGACTTCCCTGACCTTCCATCCCACACTATGGCGGAACCTATTAAACTTCCTTTTTCATGACATGCAGCTTACCTGTAATTACTTGTTCTATGTATGTCTTGCCCACAAGACAAACATGGTTTCTGCTTTCACAGTGTTGTGTTAACTGCTGTACCTCCAGTACTTAGCATAGCACCTGGCACATTAAATATTTGTTGCTCAATGAAATGATTAATTAAAATTCAATCATCTCATCCATACAAAGTAGTATTTTCAAATGTCTTTTTTTCTTCATATATTTTAATTTTTTACTCTAATTTCTATGTAATCTTTTCTAGGATTGTGTTAAATAAGAATGGCATTGTGACATTGTTGTTCATATAATTTCTTATAATTCTGATCTTAAAATTTAAGTGAGTATCTTCTACAATGAAGATTCTCAATGAGAACGATTTCATAGTCATAAAAATCCTGTAATTTGGAAAGATCCTTAGAGAGCCTCTATTTCAATTTTCTCAGATTACTCCTTAGAAGCAGGAAAGAGACCAAGAACCGTGATATTTTTATGACTACATTAGTACTGCATTATTATTATCTTTTTACTTAGATCCGGGTGTCTTATGGTTAGAGACCACCAGTGGGGAGACATTCTGAAAATTCAGAATTCTTTTTATCTTTCAATTGTGAAGGAGGATGATCATCTGTTAGTTTACATAACTACTTCATATAAATAGCTTAGCTTTTCTATGCAAACCTAAATTTATTCTGCATTCATTGATAGGGGCTACATTGCATGAATTCTTCATGTATGTAACATTCAGACATACATGTACAATTTAAACAAACACATACATACACACGCACACACATATGCATATAAACACATAAAATTCGAGAATAAAAATATTTTATTTAGTTAAAGCTAAATAAGTGAAAGATCTCTGTGTACAAATATAAATGTTTCTCCTTATAAACAGTTTCTACTGCCAGCTTTGATGTAAGTCTTCTTAACCCAATATAGCTCCTTTTACCAGGTCAAAGTACAGTATCAATGTAAGTACAGTTAGAGGTTTCACAGACCGGCCTCTTCTTAGAATCCAATTCAAACAAAACCAGAATAACAACCTAGACTAAAAGGCAATTCAAGTCTTTACTGATGTCTTCTGAAGCATGACAAAGCAAACTTCTTAAAATTCTCTTTCCCAGCTGTAAATCTCCATTCCAGTCCCTCAAACAGGAGCCACCTCCATTCCCTTCCTTCACTTAAGTATAATTTAGCTTATATAGCTTTTTATTTTTCTTCCTCACCCTGGAGCTGACCAGCAAGCAAGAACTATTCTGAGAAGAGGTACCTGTTGGAAGGTTTGTCTGAGGAGATGCCCAGAGGGAATCAGCCATGCTTACCAAGTGCCCAGTCTCTTTCCTAGAGGAGCTAATGAACTGGATAATATATATAATATATATTTTATAATAAAAGGAACAATCAATAAGCACAGGGAGGAAAGCAACATAGCAGAGTACGTAGTTACCTGTTGGTTGGTGTGATACAGACTGAGTAAAATTAGGGATTCTGAGACAGGCGAGAGCAGCCTGGAGGTGAGGGTGGAGGTGAGCCTGGGCCTGGACAATGAATTACCTAATCCATAAGCCTTTGTGGAACCTCCTGACTCAGTTTCTCTCCAGTGGCCCTTCTGTGGTATTTTCCTTTATAGACATGACTTCCTTTAGCTAGATAACATAAGGAAGGATCGCTATGTACAGCGGGCAGCTAAAAGCTCTTCCAACATTACTAAGGGATGATTTGGAATAATGAAGTAGTCTCTGAGGTCCCTGAAGACTGGAACCCGGGTGTTCTGTGTCCCAAGTGGCCCGACCCTCCTTAGTTTAACAGTCCAAAGGGACAGTTAAGTCCGGCTCAAAGCGCAGAGTGGCTTGGGGCACCTGCTTACAGGAATCTCCACTTGGCCTCAGCCTCCCGGTCAGCCAGCGGAGGCTCCCGCTACCACCTGCTCAGAACTTCTGCGATCACTCCGCCCACGCCCCTTCTCGGCCCCTCCCCCCATTCCCTTCCGCGAGCCGCCATTTTCCACTACTGCTGCCGCCTATTTGGGCCCTCCTCGGCTTCCGTCCCAGATGATCCCTCCCCGAGACTGCCACCGCCTCCTCCTTCTCCCAGGGCTGGAGCCACCCCCTCGGCCAGTGGCGTAGCCGGACTCTGTGTCGGGGCCAGCCAGATAGGGGCGGAGGTCCTGAGCCCTGTCTCGACTCGAGCGGGGGGCCATGGAGAAAGCGGCCCGAGGCGCTTTCCACACCGACTAACGCAGGCCCGTTGCGGCTGCAGGCGCCATGGACCGAGCCCCCACTGACCAGGTACGCGGGCTCGGGCTGGGCCGGCTGGGCCGGGTGCTGGGGGTCGCCGCTTCCTCCGGAGCGGGCCCTGGTCTCCGAGTGTGGGCCTGGACCGCCGGAGCCCTTGGGTTCCTGCGGGAGCTGACTCCCCTCGCCTGAGAGCCTGGCGGCGCCCCACTCCTGCATTGTTCCAGTTGCTGCCTCGGGGGACGGGGGCTTTTCCAGCCCTGGTTACCCCCCTCCCCCGGGCTGGGGACTCGTTTTTGCTCCTCCTCTGTGGTTTGGTGTTAGGGGCCAGAGGACTCCCAAGTTGTCAGTGCTTTCCTGAGAGGAGGGTTTATAACTTCCAGCGAGTAACCTCCCCCCCCCCCCTTTAGTTCTGGAATGTATTTTCAAGGTGGCAAGGCTTTCGAAGGCTTCTCACCCAGAAAGACTGTCAGAGAATGTGTGATAACTACAGAGCAGGGGGGTTATGGGCTTTTTTGGATCAACGTTCCGTTGAGCAGAGCATTGTTTTTTGCAGTGGTTTTAGGGAGGTGTTTCCTTTAAGTATTTCATACTATGGGTTTCCCCTGCCTTTCTGTCCAATTATTTTGCAAAAATTAGTGTTTTTGAAAAATTGAGCTTCTATTTTAAGAATGTGGATCCGAAGTATGAACGCATTTCCGAGACTGTTTTCATATTCAGAGTAGTTCCGTTAATGTTCTATTTTGGTTTTAATTGTATTAAATTCTTGATTATCCACGCGAGTAGTTACTGGGAGGCAGGGATGATGAAAATGTAAATAATAATCCAAAATAATTGCCCCCCGCCCCCGGCAGAGTGTTAGTATTTTCCATCCTTGAGCCCTCTATGAAACGACTTAAAATTTGATGAAATCGAAGTTCATTCACTATGCATTCTCTTCAGTTGAAGGCTTTGCCCAGTGTTGAGCTAGGCAAATAGATGAAGGAGAAGAAGACTAGTGATTTGGGCGCCTGGGTGGCTCAGTCGTTAAGCGTCTGCCTTCGGCTCAGGTCATGATCCCGGGGTCCTGGGATCGAGTC